GACAGTCTCAATCACTTATATATCAATGCTGCAGTCAGTCTGATAAGTGTATAACAGTTTATTTACTCATCTTAAGAAGCAGTTGAATCACTTAAAAAGAAATTCAGTCTGAGATAATGCTATAGCACAGACTATTATTACTGTAAGAAATAAACTAGTATATTACTACAGTAAAACTGAACAATCTTTTACAGAGTACTATGCTATAGCAGCTCTACTAGATTTCTCTCATTGAGTTAATATCTACACTTCTCAAGATTGAACAGAGAAGAAATGAGACTCATATATCAAATTAGTCTGAGACTACTACAATGTCAACTATCAGAGATTTGAACAAGCAGATGTTCAAGATGTGAAGACAGTGAAATACAATTCTCTAGTAAGTAATGATCTTTGATAACACTTCATATTTCATAGAACTATAATACTAACTTTGAAATAGAACTTGCATATATTAATTGCAACTGAAAATCAGGCAAAACTACATACTTATAAAACTGAATTTGACTGCTATCTTCAAGATGATCTGATAAATTTACACACTAAATCAATTCTAGAGTTATGAAAAATTATTAAGAGTATATATTCAACTGTTACACTGATGATGCATGATATTCTGATAATTTCATTGACAGAGATGAAAATGAAGTAAAAGTTCAACTCAAGTCAAGATATTTATCACTATCATTGAGAACAATTATAAGAAGAAACAATCAAGAAACTCATGATTATAAAACATAAAATTATCAGACAGTTTAATACCTCTGATCACAGTATATTAGAGAAGTGTAGTTTTCATGAGAAAGTAAAGAATAAACTTACACAAGAATGTATTTAGTTATTTCATAAGTGTTATCAATAATCATTATCAAATTCTGATTATATAAGCAATCACTGAATGAACTGAATGAGACTGATTTTGATCTTCAGTCTCAGTCTCATTCTGATTTTGAAAGAATGATCATCTTTCACAGTTTATTCTAAGAAATTACTCTCATTTCACTGTTCTTGAATTAAATCTGGTTATTTTTCACATCATTTCTCTCAGAAATGATCTATTTTCAGATTTTTTTGAGACTTGGTCCTGGTGGGACTCACGCCAAGAAATGTATGAGACCAGATCAAATGGGACTAAATGTGAAATTCATGGTCTCGCTGGCCAGTCTAGAAGAAACTGATCAATCATACATTCAAGAAGATCATCACTGAGTGAAAAAAGCAGTCTCAGACTGATTCTGTGACTGTGAAAAAGAATAAGAATAAAGATGAGAATAAAAGTATATCTGTATGAAAGTGCATTCACTGTAGAAGATATGAACATACTGTTAACAGATGTTTCATCTTACACTCTGATAAAAAGAAAAAGAAGATGAACAAGAAGAATGATGATAAGAAGAAAGAGAAGAAGAATGACTTGATAAGTTCTTAATCAGCAGTAAATACAGTAATTACAAAGATTAAGTTCTATTTCTCTTTCACAGTCACTGAAAAATCATTCTCTAGATCTTGATATTTGAACATATGTGTAAGTCTGAATATGACTGATGAGCTTCATTTTTTTTCAAATATTAAACCTTTTAATAGTAACATCTCTGTTGATTCTGCAACTGAGAAAACTGAGTTTGTTAAGAAGATTGAGACTGTCACTTTAAAGATTGAGAGTGATAATGTTAACTTACAGAATATTCACTATATTTCTAATATTACAGTTAACCTGCTCTTATTTGCAAAGCTTAAAGATCAGAAATTCTGATTTATATTATCTTTCACTATTCCCTCATTTTTCATTTACAGAGCTCTGAATAGTGTCATTTTTCATGCAGTTCAGATCACTCAGAACAACATATATAAGATTAATAAATGAGAGTTCAATGAGAATTTCAATCATCTGAATAAGATAGTCAAGTATATCACAATGTCTTATAAGTATGATTTTGACTGAAAAGTTGATCTTTCTGTGACTGTTACTACTACTGTTAATAACATTGATTCTACAGTTCTGAATACAGGTCTCAAAAATACAAGAATATCAAAGACTCTTTTGAACTGATACTGTGATCTCAGTCACATTCACACTGATGCTATAATTATTATAGTCAAGAATTCTTATACTGAAGTCACTATTAAAGGTTCTAAGACTAAGTTCTTTTGTAAGGAATATGTCAAGACAGATATGATATAAGATTATTCAAAAACACTGATGCCTAGATCTATTTAACTCATTGAGAAGGTTTATATTGACCTTATAGATAATGAATGTACATTGAAAGATCTCACTGATTATCTCTTAGAGTTTCATCAGAGAATTAAATACTGAATACTTATCATCTGTGATGTGACTCACTACTGTTAAGTATATTTTTTAAAGTTCAAGAATGAGACTATTCAATACTTTGAGATATGGCTCAGATTCATAAATAATCTCAGATATATAGCTTCTACTTTTCTACAGACTGATATTGATAGTGTGTTCTGATTCATATGTATACACACAGTTATAAATTCATATAATATTAAATGAGAATTAATAACATCTTATTTATCACATCAAGATAATATTTCTGAATGTGAGATTTGCACTATTATGAGATAGATTAGAGCTGCTCTTTTAAAAGATAATCTCTCTAAGAAGTTCTGAGCAGATGTTCTAGAGACAGTGATTATAATAATTAATAATACTCTCATATCTACAGTTCTTTATAACTTGAAATTTTAATCCTCTACTGTAAAGACTTCTATAATTTCAAGTTCATATAAGATTTCTTGATGTATACTTATAAACATCTCACTAAATGTGAGACATTTTCACTGATTGAGTGCAGAGATTTTTATTCACTTGCATGAATTTCAGAAGTCTGTGAATGAGCTTTCTTCATATACTGATTTCTATCATATCATTGAATTCAGTGACATATTAATATATTGTCTATGATATCTCAAATCTGAAAAAGATTATTGTCAGTAGTGATGTGAGATTCTTAATTACTGAAAAACTGAAATCAGTTGTTATATCTGTAGCATTTATTAATCATGTCAGTGAACTGAAATCTGATATTCATCTAGTTAATGATGAAGATGCTTCTAATATTAATAATCTGAATTCTACATAATTGCAGTCTGTGAAATTACTGACTACTTACACTCTGAGCTCTGTTACAGATAATCTTCTGAAGTTCTACAAGAATATCACATCTTAGTTAGAGAGAGTAGAAGATTATTGAAAAAGTTCATATAATATAAAATTACTGATCTGAAGAGATATAATATATAAAGTTTAATCTCTAGATCTGATAATTTGAGAGATGAACTGATTACTTCAGACTGTTAAGTATTTCTTGAGAAAGATAGATCTGTGAACTCAAATACTAATTCTGATAATATTCTTAGAAAATCATATTGAGTGATTTATAATAACTGACTTAAGAGAAGTTCTAGAGAAGAGACTTATACTTCTGTCATCACTGATACTGTTAATTATATTCTTTTTACAATAGCAGTACTATGCAGTTGAACACTCTATCAAGTGAATATAGTGATGATATATCTGTATAAGTATCACACTAAGAAGGTCTATATAAGATAACTCACTGAATTTAAGACAGATTTACTAAAAACACTTATCTATATAATTGAGAGTAGTCTATACAGTCTGAACTCTGCAGTGAAGATCTGATATAATTACTTAATAACTCTACTGAGTAATCTTGAATTTACAGTCAGTGTCTATAATTCAGCACTCTGATATTATATATTCAGATATCATCTCTATGTAATAATCTATGTTGATAATTTTAACATTATATCTGAAGTTTCTGAGAATGCTGATTATTTAGTAAGTATACTCAGTGAGAAATTAAAAGTCAAGAATCTATATTAACTGACTAAGTATTTAAGTATAAAAGTCAATTATTCAGACAAAGAAATTGATTTGATATATTATTAATATATTAAATATCTTATTAAAGATTTCTATCTTGATAATACAGCTATTATTAAAATATTAATAAAGAATGAATTCTGTATTAATAATTCCTCTATATTAGAGAAAGAGACTGATTTCACAATTCAATGATATTAATATAATATAAGTTACTTATAATATCTTGTAGTTAAAACATGTTCTGATATTACTCATACTGTTTTACTACATATTTAATAGAACATTGATTCAACATTTCAATGTTGAAAGACTCTATTATATATTATATATTATTTAAAAGAGATTATAAATCTGAGTATTTTCTATAGACACAGTTTATATAAGAGATTTATTTCTATTAATTCTTCTATTCTCTCTGATTTCTCTGATGATTTCTATCTACTCTTCAGCTACTCAGATTCTGATTAGACCAGTCTTTTAAATAATGATAGAAAATCAATATTCAGCTACATTTTTAAGCTTGCAGATAGTCTGATTTTATAGTATTCAGTAAAGCAATCTTGTATATCTCTAAGTTTCAATGAGACTGAATATATGACTCTTAGTAAGATAGTTCACAAAGTAATATAAATTTAAAACCTCATGATTGAGCTTAGCTTCATTACTACATCTCTGATACAGATTCTCACTGATAATAAGAGTACTATAGATCTTATAAAGATAACAGTTATTACAGTCTGAAACAAGTATATTAATACATGTTTTCATTTTTCATATTAACAGTTAAATCAGAAGATCATTGATTTAGAATATATTCTTATCACTCAGATAACAGTGAATAAACTCACTAAATTTCTAGACACTGTGATATTTATATAATTCATGATTTTACTAGATCTTACAGATGTAAAAGTTGGGAATATTTAATTTTACATTTGTATTTGATTTTAACAGACTATCTTGATGGTTTGAGTGTTTTTGTATGTAATTCTTATTATCTTGAGAGAAGGTGTTGGCCGTTACAGCTGTTGCGGTTAGTGATCCCACTAGATCACATGACCCATCACTATATTATGTTCTTGTAGATAGATCTATCAATACAACCTTCAACTATCCTACAGAAGTTATATGGTGGAAGGATTAATAAGCCATATCATGTGACCTGACAATAAATCGGTTATATACAAAACAAAGCTTCTAGCTCATTAGAGACGACGAGTGTCATTAAATACACGGAATTCGTCGCTTTGACAAGAGTGGAGCGGAGCAGGGAGCGCTGTCGGAGGAGTGTAACGCCGGGCAAAATAAGAGTTTTAAAAAGAAGTGATAAGGGAAAGGTGTCGCAGGGGGTTGGTTATGTCAGATTTGATTACCATCCTCTTGGAGTAGTTTATTTAGATACCGAAAAATTTCACCCATTGTAATTGTCTTTGTTTGTCGATGTAGATGGTTGTGATGTCGATTGTGCGCTGTTGTCAACAAGAGGGAAATTGTTTGTTCCCGGCAGACTGCGGGGAGCTTTATCGGCGAATACTGTTTTGTTTACGCCAAAAGTGGATCGTTAGAAATTGTACGCTGCCCTCAATAATATATATAGGTGTAGATCTCTTGAAGAGTAAAGGGAAGACCGGCAAAAAGATTCACAGTAAACGCTTACCTCGCTCATATAGTGCGTAACTGGTGTAAAGCAAAATTGGGAGTGCGACCACTGCCGATGTCCATCTGCAAGAAAGTAAATAAATGAGAATTGTTGGTTATAAAGCGGAATGGGGATGATTTGTTCCTAAAGGGAATCCTGTAAGCCCCTACCTTCGTGCAAGGCTTTTATACTGCTTCGTATTTCTGATATCCTGCGGCTTAACACCTGGAGCTGGTTCCGGTCTCTGCGGTTTTACCCGCTGTGTCTCTCTGCGGGCGGAGGCAGCCTGTGCTAACTGTGGTCTGATGGCGGGTGGATGAGGGGGCGGCTGTCGAGGGCCGGAAGGTGAGGCCTTCTTGGATGCCAGGGTAGCCATGTCTGTAGTTATAGCTTGGCCTGAAGATTCGATGGGCCTTGGCGCTGAGGCCTTCTTAATCTTATCTTCTATGAAAGTTGCCTTTCTTGTTGGTTTACTGCTGCTGGCCGCCAAAGCTGTAAGGATTTTGGAACCTTGCACCGTAGCAACAGTGGCGTCAACGGGGTGTGCGGGAGGAGGTGGTGTCTGCTCCGCCACTCTTTTTGGCTCAATTGTTCTCTCCCTGCCTCTAGCCGATTGAGCAGGAGGTTCAGATATCTCTCCCGCGGCCTGAACGGAGTTTCTAGCCTCTGGCTGCCTCCTTCCAGTAGCCTCCTGCTTCCCAGCTAACTCCGTAGTTTCGGAGTGGGAAATCGACTTGGATTCTGCGGACGGCGTTCGCGGCGCAGGTGGCTGTTCGGCAGCTGGATTGGATGCGGAGGTTCTAAGCCTGGATTTCACGCCCACCTGGTCGCTCTTTGCCCTGCTATTATTACCTGGTATTTGCGATGGCGCGGAGGGAGGCTTCGGTAGTCCTTGCGCGGGGTCAGGAGCCGTGACGGATGATTTCTTTTGTCGAGTGGGAGCGCTTTTCTTCTTCGCTGCTGGTTTCCGATCGATTGGTGCACTGGATGCGGGTTTGGGGTCGGATGCTGGCGGTGAATTGGCTTTGGGCGAGGATTTGCGGGTAGTTCGCGTGGTGGATGGGGTTGACTTCTTGGTTGTGCTTGTGCCTGTGCTTGTGGTTGTAGTTGTCGACTCAGAGGTTGCGGTGGATGTTTTGGTTGCGGCGGCGACGGCTTTCTTCGGCCGGCCACGCTTTTTGGCGACAGTGTCTGGAGTGCTGGACATGAGTCTGGATATATCTAAATACTGCACTCGATTCCTATTTGTTATTTTCGCATTTATCTATTCTATAAACGAGATTAAACATAGGAATAAAAATATAGAGCCAAAAAAAATAGGAATGCAAGCACTTTTTCATGAAACGCGAGAATAACCCTCCCCCCTGTAATTACATAGTCACAGCGTCCAGCCAATTCTGCCTACTGTCAATATGTTCCTGCGCTAAATCCCCAGACCAAGAAACTTCAAGGCAATTTAATCCGCACGCGCGTTCGGCAGACGCGATATGGCGGCGGCCCAGGGAGACTAATTAACAGGCTACCGCGCCCGCAATTTTTGGTGTCGGTTCGGGCGATTGCCCCAGCTACCGAGAGCTACGACATACACTGGGCATAAAGATAGCAAATGAAGAAAAGGCCCTATTGTCAGAAACTCGAAACAACCGTGGTGGATAGAGCAAAAGGCTCCAGTGTACGGAGTAGGTAATTGATATGTTAGGGCTTACGACCAAAACGGAAACCCTAGCCTTAAGCTGATAGCAGGATATTTCCAGCAGAAGCTACATGAACAGCTTGTGCTGCATCCAGCCTTCTATTGATAAATGATGTGACTTGATTTTCATGAGTGAAATGGGAATTCACATAATAGTTAGGTGGACTTAACAAGAACAGGTTTATTCACCATTATAGTGTCTTAAAAACGATGGAATCATGGCCGCTTCCATACGCACGCCTCTCTTCCCAGCTCAACAAAATGAATAGTATAATGTGGGGTTATTATTTACATCCTTATCCATACCTGACTATAGTGGAGGTAATAGAGTATGGTACATGAATGAGAGAAGTAACTAAGGGTAGGATGAATAAAATAAAGGGCCGCGCGGACTTGTAAATTCACCGCCATACAGCGCAAGGTCAAAAACAGCCCACGTCAAAATTCAAGCTTGTAAAGCATATGCACAGGGTAGAAGGATACGAGAAGCAAAACAATAAAACTCCAAAACAACTTGAATCACCGCCAGCAGTGCCTTCATGTTTGTACCTCATTCCACGATAATGTACGCTTCCCAGGCTCTATATTTATTCCCTGAGGCATCAAGCTTGATGAATTGGAAAAAAAAAAGAAAGAAAGAGAGAAAGAAAGAAAAGAAAAGAAAAGGAAAAGGAAAAACAAAAGAAAAACTCCAAGATTGAGTGAACCTTAGTCCCTCTTGCACCACCTCTGTCTGTCTCGTAAGGAAATTCGTTTCCATAAACAGTCCGGACATGGAATAAAAGAAAGGGAGACTTCAAACAAAACTCCAACTAACTCCAAAATCATGCAAAAGCAATTCATCGACTTTTCCCAGTTCTGTTGTATTGTACAGTCATAATATGGGGTTTCTCCCTATCATTTCCCTTTACTCTCGATGGTTATTTTCCGGGGAGGTACGATAAAAATGACCTTTCCCGGCGTGACGAGATATAAAGACGTAGGGTAGATTGACATGTAAACAATGAAGTAATGAGGAACGAGAGCAATATGAAAAGCATATCGGCATTTGCCCCTTTGTTTCAGAGCGGAGTCTATTCCTGTCCGACCTGGGAAGTGGTGGGAGCAGCATCTTTCTTCTCAGCGGAATCTTCCATTCCACCAGCAACAGCATCATTCACCATTTTTCTCGCGGCTGGAGTAATGGATTCGAGACAAGTCTGGCGTGCAGCTCGTTTGCGCCGCTGACGAGGCTGTGTGGTCTCACGAGTTGCAGCGGTCGCTGCAATAGCAGCCGCCCGCCTCGATGGGCGACCGGGGCCACGGGTTGCGAGCAAGGCAGGGTTGGAATCCACCTCCATGGATTCTGCATCTGCATCTGCAGGACTTCCACTTCCACTTCCACTTCCGTTGCCTACGCTGCTCGTCTCGGGAATTGGCGCATCTATGTTTAGGCGACGCTTTTTGTTTCGGGTCGTTTTACTCACGTTGTCCTTAGGTTCGTCATCATCCTCCCTTTTCGGATCAGCGCTTTCCAAGGATTGACTAGCAGCAGCCCGCTTCCGCGATGCTCTCACTCTCTTGCTTGTTCCAGTAGATGTACCGGATGGTTTCGCGGGCGTTTTCATCTTGCTAATTTCGTTTACATCACTTGCACTTGCAGCTGCCCCCTGAGCAGTGTAAATTTCATCATATTTCTCAATAGCATGCTGAATATCTTCCAGCGATGTGGAACGGTCAATAACGATACCTCGCATACGAGCTGCGCGGAAAATCTTGACTTTTGCCGTTTCCAGCGCAACATCCTCTGCGACGAATGGGCCCTCTAGATCCTCGGGAAGGTTTGGCTTGCGGCCTTGGGGAGGATAGCCAAATACATCGTCCAGTTCGATCTGGATAAGGGACTTTATCTGGGGAGGGGATGGGGCAATACGTGGGTTATTGAATGAATCCCTTGGTCGGACCCATGCGTAGGTGGTTGGAACAATAACATTTTCTTCGTTATGTTGGTTGCCGCGCCCGGTATGGACCCAGCCATCACCGTCAGTCCAAGGGCGGGGGAGGTAGGAATGGGACAAGACACATGGGTCAAGAAACTTCTGGTCCGTGATAGAAGTAGGCCATTTGGGGGTATCATGCTCAACAACTTCATCAGAAACGTATCCTTCCACCATAGCTGGCTGTCCAAAGTTCGTTTGTTCACCAATGTTGTTTTGCTGTGCGGATGAGATGGCGATGGCAGCAGCCACGTCTGCAGAGGCACCGGTGTCCTTAACCACACCATTAGCGGAATTAGCTTGACTAGATGCGTCAACTGCAAAATCTTCAGCAGGGGTGGCGGGCGTAGCAACGTCAGTCTCCAACGAAAGAACATTGGCAACGGAAGGGGTAGGCTGCGAAGAAAAGGGACTTTCGCCTGGGACCGTCTCTTCACTTGTTCGCGTGGACTGGGTTTTCAGGGATTTCTCAGCAGCAGCATTGTTCAAAGCGGTTGCCAACTGTTCAGCGTACCAATCCCGACGAACCCGGTGGAGATCGATTTCCAATGTTGGTTTGAAATCGGGTTTTGAAGCAGCAGTTGCTAGATCAAGGAATTGCTCCATGATAGCGTCTGTTTCTGGGGACAAGGCTCGCGATGAAGGAGAAGGTGCTGAAGCATCTAAAGGAGACATCGTTGTTGTGGACGTGCATAAGCGCCTTGGTTGCTGGTCGGGCACACGGAGCCCAGATGCACCTGTGTCAGTCACACTTTGGAGACTGACTGCCGCTGCGATCTCATCAATGGAGCGCACGGTCATCGATCTGTTTGACGACGCAGGAGCCATATTTCCAGCTTCAACGGCGTCAGAGGCTGCCTTGTTCGTAGTGTTCGTAGCGTCTATGTCACCTTTTGCACCATTAGACTCCTTGATGGCGCTTGCGACAGAATTCTCTTTAGCCTGAGTAGAGTGAAGTTCAATCTTTTTCGAGGTTTTTGGAGCCCGGGCCCTGGTGCCTGATCTCGCCTGCGAGCTCAGTTGCGCCTCTATGGCCCTAAGCGTGGGCTTTCTGATGCGGGTCGATTGACGGGGAGGCATTTTGGAAGATATTTTGATTTCGGGAACAGTTTTGTTCCGACTTTCGAAAGATACAGACGTTGTGTTCGTGGGAGTGCTTTCTGGGAGGAAGTGGCCCGAAGAGTAAGGACAGGATGAGAGGGATGAGGAAGTAGACGGGCGGCGCTGGGGACCGTCAAGATGATTCTCCAAAGCCCTAGCATCCATTGATTGTTGTTTGTCATTGACACATTGTGGTGAATGGGATGCCTTGGGGCTGTGGTAGCTTGACAATCCGCTAAATGCCGCATATTCACTATCCAACCCCAAGGAAAATTCACAAGAGTTGATTTGTGCAACAATGACACGCACAGCCTTTGTCACATCAGGATCGTTTGATAGTATCGCAAACGCCTCTGTGAATCTCGGGGAACGAGAGGATTCCATATCAAGGACCTTAATCAGGGCATCTGTAGATGCTTGGTATTCCGATTGTAACTCTGGGTAAGTAAGCGTCGCAAGGACATCTACCACAAGTTTCCCTGTAGCAGCAGTGTCAGCATCTATACAATGATTATCAGCCATTGTGCCAAATAATCTGTCTCCAAATCCTGGTTTGAAGCTCTGCAATTTGGCTAGCCTTGGTGCAATTCTTCTTGCCTCCAAATCCATCTGGCAATGAAAGGATTTGGTAGAAAAGGAATCCACCGAAGGGCTTCGTTCTTCAGGAAGACGTTCTATACCCATTGTTGTTTGGCTCTCGTCTTCGTGCTTGCTAGTATACTCTATAAGGATTGAAAATAAAAATTAGACAAACGCCCTCACGCCACGAGCGGAGAGATATTTTACTTACCATGAAACTTGCATGTATCGGAACAATGAACCCCACTAACAAGATACAAAATATCATCATTCCGTACCCGGCTTCGACGGCGCCTCGGTCTTTGAGATACGTTACTTGTTGGTGAATTCTGCTCTGAGTCTGGGACCCACGGGTACGTAGATTGACATTTCTTGGTGCTGTCGATTTTTTGAGCAAGCCAAATTGCGACAGCAATTGGATTATTGTCCCAAGGATAATTTACAAGACTGAATAAATCCGATTTCGATGCAATTGCGGATTGTATATCACGCTCCTTAGCCAGGGCGCCACTATGGCGGCCTGCAACACGGCTAAGTGAGGAGGAAAAAGAAGGCCCAGTTGATGGACGGCTCTGCGTTTCCTTCCGGGAAGCAGAAAATACATTAGCATCCCCACTTTCCCGAACACTGCTAGAGTGTTGAGAATTGTAGTTATTAGTCCTTGGACGCTTTGCTGAGCGAGGACAATCGGATTGAGTTGAGGAATACGATGTGTGCGACGAAGGAGAATTCCGTGAGAAGCTCGAAGAATCGGTCTCGTCCTCCACCAACGTTACTACAGGCCGCTCCACAACCAGCGGCTGGGCATGGTTATATGCCTACCATCAATACCAGGATGTTAGATCAACAGGGAGCTCAGAAAATGAGCATGATGGCCAAAGACAGTTAAGAGTTGGTCAAATACCAGAATAGTCCCTCCCATAATCATTACGAACTGCGATATATGAGGCCTGAAAGAACAGAGTAAGATGTCAGAGAAATCCCAAAGCAGATAAATATATATAACACAAAACAAAATGGATCTGGATTGGGGCATTCATGTGCCATATCTAGAGTTGTTTCAAAATCTTCACTGGAAAGGTGGGCTATTGACTTGTTGAGGTTCAGTCACTACTCACCTCTTAGATAGCTCTTCCGATCAGCCAGCGGAGGTCAAAGAACAATGAAACATAGACTAGGAAAATCGCGAGTTACTTGCTATTCTGTTTGCCTGTTTTGCCTGTTAAATAAAGCTCACACCGCTTCGTTTGGTGGAGATGGGAGACTGCGGGAAAGTCCAGTTGCAGCCACAACCCTAAAGAATTGACGAAGGGACGAGGAGTGCAGAGCTCACAACTTTCCAAGGCATTTACGGTAAAGTGCATGTCAAGGACAAGAGAAGGCTTTTGTAGAGCACAGCAGTTGTATGGCGGAGATGTGGTAGTGAAGTGCAGAGTGCAGGCCGCAGCCAAATACTGTGATGTCTTCCGCGCATCTCTGGGAGAAAACAATTAGGGCTTGCGGCCCTACGTGACTTGTGCTAGGGTTAGCTCGGCGCTAGGCCAGATGCATCGACAGTGGCCAGCTTTCCAGTCCAACGGCCAAAGGACAGACTGCGCTATTACAAACAACAGCTAAACTACAAATCCAATAACCAATACTGACCGCTAGGGTGGCATTGATCGCTCTCAATTGCGGTGGTTTCATACTTTGAACTGCCATCCAGAAAATCTTGTTAGAGAAAGACTCCCTCTTTCTCTGAAATCCTCTCACCTCTCGAGGATGCAGTTGCGGGAGCTTCTCCGAGCTGGTCTCCTTATATCTCCCCTCCCCTCTGCCTGGGCTGCTTCTGGCTGGGGATTTGATGATGCATCGGTCTCAATCGCACAGAAGGGCGCTGGAGTTGGCAGTGGACTTAAAGAGAAGTGCGCTATATACATATTACCCTCACTGCTGGTGCGCCCAGTAGTTAAAGCACTGTTGCTAACTATATTCATCTATATTGGGGGTATTTAGGCTGCTAGAGAGCAAACCACTATCGAAGCCGTTCTCGTTCGGAGAGTCAGATATCCTCAAGCTTAGCTTAACGACACGGGAAGGCAGTGCTACTAAGAGACCTCACCAGGCTTTCTTGCTACTGAAAGAGCACGATAGCGGACTCGACCTATCATACCCATTAAGTGTGAAGGAAACCGGAAAGGCAAAGATAGAGTTGGTTAGTTGGGCAATTCCCCCACAGTAACGCTATACAAATGGAATAGGCCGCAATGTTGACAGCCCCACGCTTAATTATGTAGGCACAAAAAGACCTTCCTGGTCAATTTCTCCGGTCCTCGAAACCAATCGATGCCAGTGTTGTGATCGCATCGTTCGGATCTGCAATTGGATATGACAGCCGTGTTTTCCAGTTGGATGTCACCCACGACAATGCTGCCAGCGGGCCACTCCCTTCCGAAGCTCTCAGATATGGCAAGCGCGATGAAATCCACCATACCTTCAAGGCTGATCCGAAAAGCCCTCCTGTCATCATAACATTAGTGTTTGTCGGAGCAGTCTTAGCTGCACTTCCGATCCTTGCAGGTTGGGTACGTAAAGTGGACTAATCCAACGTGAGCTTTTAAAGAAAGGGGGAAAGGTTAGCTGACATTTCTACAGTGGTTTTACCTAGGTGCGAATTTGCATCACCTCCCAGTTGCACTGAAATCATCACCTATTTCGCATTTCCTGTTCCTTGGTTCGATTGTTGGGCTAGAGGGCATATTCTTCCTTTACTACACGGCATGGAACCTGTTCCAAACCGTACCCATTGCGTTGGCAGTGGGCGCCATTGCTTTTGTCAGCGGAAGTCGCGCATTGAGCGAGGTCCAGGAGAGGCGCCTCGCAGGGCTGCGCTAGGGGGTCTGGTTTTGCTAATGCTTTTTCGTCATGCTATTCGGGGCAAAATGGCATATGACAAAGAATCTTCACTTTGGAGCTGGAATCTTCCTAGCGCTTTTTTCATGAACAGATGTATCTCTAGGTCGTTATTTATTTAGTAGAACCCATGCATGCGATTCCTAGAACACCTGTGTGTCTTATTTATTCTGCTCTCCCCTCCCCACCTTCTAGCCCTAGACGCAAATTAGCGTTCCACCAAACCTACATTCCTGTCAGCTTTGGCCCCCGTAGAAGCTTGGACCGTCTCCGCAAAACCATCCATCATTCTCCGCTCACCGAGCTAGTTACTGTACAGTATCGTTCTCCGACTCCCCAGTAACGCTGCACACACAAAATTGCAATGGGCGCATCATCGTCGAAACCCATAAAGGCGGCAGCTAATGCAGCTGCACGGCGTCAATACCCCAAGAAACCCTCCGCACCGACCACCGGGCCCGGTGGTGCCAGAGCCGCGGATCCAGCGGCCAGGGCATCAAGCCGACGGGAACAGCCAGGACCAGTATTCCATGCAGAAGAGAAGGCGAGCGCTGTAAGATTAGAAGGTAGGCTCATAATTTCTTTGTGTTTTTACATATTTGCGCGAAATGAATATTAAAAAAAAAAAAAAAAAAAAAAAAAAAAAACTAACAACCCGGCCTCAAATAACCACAGCCATCGACCTCGAAGCCCGCGATCCTCAGTTCGCCGCCTCCCTCCGCTCCATCGGGCCCGTCACCCCCAACCCTTTCAACCAACCCCAAAACCCGCAGCTTCAGCAATCCCTCTCCATCGTCTTCCCCCCCTCCACCTCCTCCTCCACATCCTCCAACCCAGCCCTCCTCGTTCTCTCCTCCCGCGCCCGGTTAGAGAAGGCCGCCGAACTCGAACTCGAGTCCGTTGGCCGACCGAGCCATTCCGGGCGCGAGTTTTTGGATGTCGTGAGTATTAGGCATATTTTGGCGATGAGGGATAAGGGAGGGGTGTCGGAGGAGGTGATTGAGAGGCAGTTTCGGCTGAAGAAGGGGGTTGTGCGGTCGTTGGGGGGAAGGGGGGTAGTAGGGCTTGTTCGGTGATATTGGCGGAGGGGAGGTTTCTCTTTTTCTCTAGCTGGCTTTTTTTCTTTTGATTTTTTTATTGGGATTAAAAGGTTGTACATTTGCATTTCGACAGGTGCGCTCTATGTATGAATATGAAGGTATGGTGGATATTTTGGTGATGATAATGAGCTTTTGGCACGGAGTATATTTGAGTAGTTGGAGGTTTGCATGGGATTGAACTCTGATCACTCAATTAATACCCATTTGCTAGATAAACTCTCTGAGAAATATCCAAGACATTAGTTTAGAATTGCATTCTCGTAAAGCTCTGTGTCAACTTATCAATTTGATATGTGCCCAATCATATACTCAGATATGATCACGGTAAATAGACCAATAACCAACCCTAAAAAGCAAAATCAAGATTTCAAAATACCACTAATGACAGAGCAATGACTGTACTATTCCATACTGACTTCACAACCTCCATAGCATTTTCCACAACTTCCCCGATCCCAAGATACCCCCCTTCCCTTCGACACGATATATACGCAGATATCACTCAGATATAAAACATAGTATCCACCAGGTCAGAATGTATGCGAACATCGTCACCAATAGGCACAGGACCCACATCACTAGCACCAGACGAAGCAACACTGGTGTCAGGCGTGACGTCGAAATATCGACTTAGGTAGCGCCTGGCGCGCTCACAGACTAGATCCGCATAGTACGCCGGCGGGCAGACGCTGACGGCCTTGGTTGCTCGTCCGAACAGGTAGCAGAGATTATGGGTTAGGTCTTCAAGCTCATCGGCAATGCTGTCGAAGCGGCCTGCAGTCTTCCGCCCGGTGAATATCTCATCGAGGATCACGTAGTAGTGGGCTGGCCGAGCGGTCCCCTGCAGTGCGGTGTGGGCTTGGAGGAAGAAATCCCAGTGGCGCGATTCGGTGACGCCGCGGTCGACGACGGTTCCGCTGTTGGGATTTGAGTTGTTGTCCGCGTCCTTGAGATCGGTTGGGTAGAACCGCGTATTGTGCCGTTTGCCGACGATGATGATGGTGAATTTGGGGAGGCCTTTCTTGGTTTTGTCGGCTGGGTAGATAGCTTTGCACGCGCTGCGGAGCAGGGGTAGTTCTTCGTCCAGGACTTTGCCGTATTGGCCTTCTGATACCCCGTCGCGGTAGATCAGGATATTCTCCGGGAGGCTCTTGGAGTTGTTCTTCTGCCAAAGGCGAAGACGAGATTGGAGCATTATATCAAGATCACTCACCATCTCTGCGCGAGCCTGCTGTTGAAGACGGATGGTGGCGGGCCATTGACCGAGGACTTTATCCACGCTTGCAACCATCCCGGCTATGCTTGGTGCAGTGGAGAGCGAACCCGGGGCAGGATGCGTGACATCAATGCCCACAACCATTGTCTTACCTTCCGATATAACCCCCAGTTTGGACGGCTGAAGTTTGTGGTTGACTCCTCCGAGCTTCAGGTTGAATTTTAGCGCAACGTTGGCGAAGTATTGAGGCTGATTCTTCCTGAACTTTTCTGCGACTACGCAAATAGTATGGATGCCGTCCTTGATATCTCCCCTATACTTTACCTGGCTGTAAATTTGAGGGCTTGCAAAAGGTAGGATCACCAGAACCAATCTCACTCGCGACTGCTGGCGAATCTCGGCAAAGATGGGGTCCAGTGGTATATCCTCCACATCTCGACGAGGGGGAACGTTGACAGCGATTGGACGGCTAGGCACTGGAACAGCGAGCCCTTGTACCCTTGCCATATCTATAAATCTATCAACGCTCTCCATAACAACCGCTGGATCGGTTCGGCCGTCTTGGTAGTAAAGGAATGTCCAGGCAGGTAGCTGGGACCCATGTGAGAATGCGACTTTCTGAAGGTTCCAGTTCCCGCCGTGAGGGCTTTTAAAGCTCTGTCCCTTGTACTGAATAATAGCGGGACCCTCCAGCACTCGACCAGGAACAGTAATCAAGTTTGGCAACAGAGATAATCCCATACCAGCCTAAGTAATTAATGTAAGCAGGTCACGCTAGAGCTTGTCGCTGTAGAAACTGGGTCAACTTACCAGCATAGGATTCAAATGTGGGGTAAACCCGAGCACCTGGGTTCCATTTACGACAATCGACTTGGCATTTTCCACGGGTCTCCGGACTGCAAAGCGAATCATGTTCTGAGTCTGTTGGGGGGAGATTTTGGCATTTGCCGGCTGGCCAGGCAGAACGTGGCAGACCTCAGCAGGCAGGTAGATCGGCTCCTCCTTGCTGCCAACATTGACAACTGGTAATGCGTTGTTCAACTCGGGGATATTGGGGTAATCTATCACGAGTAAGAAATGAAGGGGGAGGTTGGGGCTTTTTGTAATTTTTGCTTACTGCGTTTAAAATAGTCGTAGACGCTAATATATGAACCCGTAGAAGAATCTCCACCCGGCTTCACAGGGCCCTTTTTCTGTTTTTTCCCGTTCTTCTTGCTTTGGCCCTCTGCCGGGGGTGTTGGTCCATCAGGAAAGAACTTGACATCTTTCGGACCTGCTCCTAGCCAAGGTACCTGTGGCGGGTTCTGCAAATAACGCCCATCACTCTGATGTGCAAGACCTTCAATAGTTTTGATTCGCAATATGACCCTGCCTGATTTATTTTTGCGGACGATATGATTGACGCTCACGCGTACTCGCTTAAGGAATCGGTTGAGTTTGTGAAAGTGCGTAGGGCCTCGTATGCTGGCTGAAAAGCTGTTCATAATATCTGGCAGGCTCCCTTCACTGTAGCACGGGGTAGCTTTGACTTGGACATTCACAAGGAGGCGGGAAGTCGTGGCACGGACGCTGACGAAGAAGCCCTTGAGTGCAGTGAGTCCACCAGAAAGATCATAGCTTTCCCCGCCCCGGCCAAGTGGAAAGTGTTTGTTTGCGCCAATTGAAAGCAATTCGCGATTTGTCTTGGGGTTGTGGCCCAGGACGATATTCAATGCCTGGATGATCTCTTCTTTGGCCGGGAGTTGTTCCCCGCTCCTGGGTGAGGAGAGATATTGGAGCAACGGTGCCACATCGAGAGAACCAATTGCGACGACCCGAACCTTGTAAGTCCTGGCTCTGGGAGCAGGTTCATCTTCATATTCGAGACGATACGTTATCGAAAACATCTCCTGGGGAAGGTTGATTGCGGTTTTGCAGACCAGTGTTGCTTTGTAGTCAGTTGCAATTTGGTTTTTCATGTTTCCGAAGTGCTCTTCCAACAGAAGCTCGATAATACGCTTAAGCTTTTTGCCAGCAGGGGTTTTACCGTCCTGTTCCTGGACTTCCACCTTATAGCGGTGCAGGGTGAGATTGAAGCTTGAGACGATTTCGAAATAATTGGCCCACAGTAAGACTGGTCTTCCTTGTGTCCCGAAGGCTGGTCTTAGAGGGAAATTCCTGTTAATTGAAAGAGATTCTAAACTCAATTCCTTTCCGGAGCCAGCAGGTCCTTTATAGCTATTCTCGACCTTTTTGACCTTGGGATCCGGAGCAGGAATACCCCCGCTAGCTTGGCTGTGACGGGTGGAGGAACGGTAAGCGGGATCATTTTTTTTTAAATATTCGAAAGGGATTATGATGCATGCGGATGATTGTCACTTACGAATACACCTCTGGCCCACGAGTTCCGCCTCCTCGTCCTCCGCGAAACCCACCACGATCACCACGGCCGCCCCGATCTCCCCTAAACCCGCCACGGTCACCACGCCCTCGTCCGCCCGATGGCGCATCGAAGATAGGATGTGGACCTCGGCCACGGTCAGAGCCGCGTCCACGTTGTCCACCTCGCTGACCCCCGGGGTCTCCCCCCATTCCCCTCCCTCCGCCCCGCCCTCTCTGACCTCGAGGCTGCTGTCCTGACATTTGGCTGCTTGGTTAGGGAAAAGAATGATACAATCAACTATTAGGAAAGTTAGTGGGCTGTATTAATTTTCATCTTTGTGTAAAATGGATAGATGAATATTAAATAAAAGAGAGTAGGGGAGGGGACTTACAAAAAATCGGGATTAAGCTGACTACTGTATATCCTTCAGACCAGCCGTGGATTTGAGATGAGGCTCCAGTGAATGACGGGACCCCTGCTGGAGGCCTCAATCCCAGCGCTAAGTTTGCAGGGTATGTAACTCGTTGCCAACTGTCTCTTTGCCATTCTTGGCATGTTTTGTTTGTTTTTTTGTTGGGGTGTAACCAACTAAGTGTAGCGGCTCCAGTGGCGTTGCCGTAGGGATCCTTATGGGAAGAACGTAGGGTTATTACACGACCGGATTATGGTTGTTCCACCATTTCAATCGGCGACACGGTCGCTGAGCTGTAAATCATAGTATAATGATGAATGAATGATGGAATCACTGTAAATAAGTGATAAACTGAAAAAATCAATTATTATATTAATGATGTTGCTGAATTCAATCTATATAATCACTAATTCTAAAAACTGTCTCATTCATCAGTATTGTTCTCTATTGAAAATTATAGATACTTCTATCTAAATTCTTCTGAATTAACTGAATTAAGTTTCTTTCATAGTCTTTATTTCTAGTTATATTACTCTCATTGATCACATCACTGAACTTATGAATTGAGATTTATAAATTAGTTATAATCTGAGAGATACTATTATCAGTTATCTGATATTTAAGAGTTGAGATTTCAGAGTAATTAGATACTGAGTATTTAAAAGTCTATATAATTATTAATTTCTGAATAAATCTGAGAATTATTTCACTGACTCTAGTTTACTGTTTCAGTGATTATTTCATAAGTTCAGAGACTCAGAACACTTATCAGAGTCAGAAAATTAGAGAAGAAAAGAGAGAAAGAATTAACAGCAGTAGTAGAAGAGTCAGTGAGAATTATAAAGAAGAGAAGAGAATTATTACTATTAATAAATTTCTTATTACTACTACTCTCATTAACTGTATTACTGAGAAGTTTAATAATTATTTTAAATCAGTTTATTATTTCAAATATTTCAATGAAAATACACTGTGCTTTCTCTCTGATACTGTTAATCAAGTTTATAAGATTCTTTATCATTGCTTTTTAACTCTTATAATAATTATTAATTAATCTCAAGATATTCTGCTGAATAGCAAGCTTTGTATTTTTAATATTTAATTTTTTCTTTTTAATAATAATTTTCTTCTTCTTTACAGTAATTTTCTTCTTTTCAATCTTTAATTTAACTCTTTTAATATTCAACTTAATCTTCTCAATTTCAAGTATAACTCTTTCAGTGAGACTGATAGATATATTTAGAACTTTTAATATAATAGTTATACTCTTCATATTTTGATTTTCTGCTTTCTGTTAATATATCTTTACTTTCTTGATTTACTTGAATAAATTCTTCACTGTCTTCAGTATAACTGACTTAACTGATTTCTTCATAACTGTTAGAGTGATAAGATAAAACTCATGAGTTTAGATCAGATTTTCAATTTCATTATTGAATTTATTAGAGTATATCACACAATCTTTCTTTTCATAGTTACAGTTTAAACATGACTTTATACTTTCTTTAACTTTGTCACAAACAGATTCAATATAATGAGAGAAAATATATGAGACACAGTACTTATATATTATTAACTTACTAGATTTGATGAGAGTATTCAGCCTGCTTACTATCTCTTTCTCTGATGCTTTTACTACTGCTGCATATGTATGCTTAGAAGTGTCTTCAGTCTTTTTAATGTTGTTGCTACTGCTGTTATTACTACTGTTATTACTACTACTGCTGCTGCTATTACTGCTACTGCTATTGCTGCTACTGTTGTTAATGTTACTGTTATTGATGTTGCTGTTATTACTGTTGCTGTTGTTACTGTTACTGTTATTACTATTACTACTACTGTTGAATGAAATAATAGATCACTGATATTCTTGATATACTATACACATTAGATATCTTGACATTAGAACTTTTAATATTCAAAGCTTTCTATTACAACTGACAGAATACTAATCTTACTGAAGATGAGAAGAGCTGAGTAAACTGAAAAAATTGATATTCACATTATAATATAATTGTGAGAAGAAGAAAGAAAGAAAGAAAGAAAAAGAAGATAATAAGTTATTCTTCTTATATATATTGTTGATTCATCTTTGCAGATTATCATGCAATAAATATAAATATTTTTATATTTCATTTCTGAGTGTAATCAATATATCTGACAGATTTTATTCATATCTTAATACTTTCTGTGCAGACTATCACTGAATAAATTACAGCTATTTTGAATATAAAATCATTTCTATTAACTAGAAACAAGTGTTCAACACACTGTTAGAAATATATCTACAGAATTTAAGATTTTCTGATATAGTGAAATCAGTGAATTCTCTGCAGTCATAACTATATAAATTGTAAGATAGAGAATATAACAACTTTCTTCAGTGAATATCAAGACAGATAGATTCTAATTATATATATTAAAGTATATATTAACTAATTTATATATAAAACTCATAGAAAACTAAATATATTGAAATATAAATAGATTATGTTGAAAATCTCTACATCACTGATCTGTCTTTTGCTAAAAGTATCTCTGAAAATTTGATTTTTTTTCATATCTTCTTCTCTGCATCTTTCATCAGATATCTCTTTTTTACTGTTAGAGTATTCTGAATCATCTCAGCAAAGTCATCTTTAATAATTTACTAATATTCAGAAATATCACTTATCAGATCTCAGAATATCAGAATATTTTATCATTACAGTATAGCTGCAGTGAAATTTTCATTTATATCAGTATTATCAAATATTTTAATCTGAGTTACAAGATTGATATATATCTCTATTTTTCAGAATCAGTTTCTAGTTTTTCAATCTGAAGTTTTCAATTCAATATCTTTAACTAATGAATATTTAACTTACATTTCATATATCATTATTCTTGCTCAGAGAATTGATCAAAGTCAATAATTTCTCATACTTAGTAAAAAATCAGAAAGAACTTTTCAGTGATAAATAAATCATAGAAGTATTCAAAGATAATTAATTCTTCATAGTAGTTATGTAATCTGATTACTATTAAACTTTCTCTGCTCTTTGTCTTCTTCTATTGAATATGATTCTATATTAATAAATAGTTAGCTAAGTTGATCAAAAATTTTTTAATATATCACTGAAAAGTTTCAAATTCTTCTAAGATATTTCACTGAAAAGTTGATATATTTGCTAAAATCTAATACTACTTGTCTTTATTTCTTTAAGAGTTTGAGACTTTCATGTTTTAATCACATTCAGCATCATCATTCTGCTGGATGAAAAGATGTATAATGTTTTATTCTTTATTTTTATCACACTTGTAACTGTTCAATCCAAATTATCTTTATTAAAAGAAAGAAAATATATTTATTTTATCTTCAGACATAGATGCTGCTCTGTCAGCTGAATTTTCTTCTTATACATTTCTGTATCTGAATGCTAAATTCAGTGACACCTTTTTAGTAGACTGTTTAATATCAGTGATAAGTTTGACTTCTTCTTATCTAACTGATATTTATTATTACTATCATTGATTCATTATATTCATTCTATATTCAGGTATATTAATATCAGATTTCTTTTAAAATTGATGATTTGTCTTATTAAACTTATCAGATGAAAGAGTTCAGAGAGATCTAGTAGAGCAGAATTTATAATAATATTTATTTTCAGAATCTTGATAGAACTCTGATAAATTTGTGATATGAATAGAAATATAGTGATTTGATTCTTAATATTAAATTAATGTAGATTGTTGCTGATTGCAGCTCTTATTAATATATCTCTTTTCAGTAATTTAATCTTATCTCTTTATTTTATCAAGATCACTTATTCACTTCATTTATATCTTTTCAACTATGTAACTTTTTTCTACAAATTATATCAGAAAGTAAAATGTTGTGTCTATTTAATTAAAATCTGAAACACTATCTGCTATCTGTCTCTAGACAAGAATCTGAGAATGATTAATATCTCTCTTTCTCAGAAACTGCAAATGAAGATTTTATTAACAGTGATTCAGATATTGATACTTCTGATAAAGAAGTATTACTATTTTCAGTAAGTTTATCACTTTTGATAACTCTATTATTATAAAAACTAACATTCTCTAAAGACAGAGTCATATAATGAGAATGCTACTGATAATATTAAGTATATTAAGTAACTTTTAAAAGCAGCTGCTGAGAAGAATATTTCTGAAAATAATGATTAAGAGAATTCTGATAAGTCAGTTACTGATGATATTAAAATACCAGCTGCTGATGCAATTGCTATTACTATTACTAATCAATTTATTGATTCTGATCCAGTAATTGATATATCTCACAAACACAGTAACTTTGAAATGAATTCATTTATTCTGATAATAAGACTCTGAGCTGAAGAGTCAGATATTTTCTAAAAAAACTATAAATCACTACTATAAATTCTTTATTTATTGAAGAATATATTGCTGATAAGTCTGCTCTCTGAAGATCTATCAACTCTGAAAAAGCAATACAGAGCATAATTTTCAATTTCATCAGTTAAGAAAACCTTAATTTCAATAGTATCATTAATATAAATGTCAACTCTGAGTTCTGCTGAGAAAAATCTCACTGAATTCTTCATGAGATTACTATACTTTCAAAATTCAATTCTCTTGATATCTGCTCTTCTTAAATCCTCAACTTTTCAATGACAAATGTATATAGAAATGACAGAAATTATCAACAATTTCACACAGTTATAGTAATCTCACAGTTGAGAGAGCTCTGTCAAATATTATTTCAGTGAATTTATCTGATATTTATTAATAAATAAACCTATTTTTTCTTCTGATTTTATTCAGTATCAGTGTGAGAATCTTGAATGCTACTGTAAATCAGAGTTGAATGATATATCTCATATTAAAAGAGTGTATTTTATCAGACATGATCACTGATATTTAGACATGAGATCTTATATAATAGTTCTAGAAGTTTAAGAAGCTGTTTACTATACTTTACAGACTATACAAAGATTATCATTCTTGAATTCATTATTTAGTTTCTTCAAAATAATTGTAATGAAGAATGAGATGAAATATATCTTAATTATTCAAGTTCTTAATTAACTTGATATTTATATAAATATAACATTTGAATCAGGTTCTGATCTGCTGATATATAAGAGTCAAGATCAGTATTTTCTTCATCAGATCATAAGAACTAAAACTGAAGTGATTGAGATATAATCATATTGTAAATCTTCA